ATATGTCAACCCTGCTTTCAAAAAAAGGTATGTCTGTATACATAGCTAATATTCACAGATGAAAACAGCAAAATGATAAAATTGTTTTTTTTTTCACAATGTCATTGTGGCATAGTGGCCTTGTATCCCAGCCATATGAGCAGCAGTACTCATCCCAGCTGGACCACTTTCATTCCTGACAAAGGTCTGGGAAGAGAAGAAGAAGATGGTTCAAGTATTTGGGTCTCTGCCAGGCATGTGGGAGACCCAGAAGAAACTCCTGTCTACTGGCTTCAACATGGCACTGCCCCAGTCATCACAGTCATGTGGGGAGCGAACCAGTGGATAAAATATTTTCTCTGTGTGTCTCTTCCTGTTTCTTTGTGATTGTGATGCGCTGCTCAAATAAGTAAATGAATATTTATAAGAAGGAGAAATGTTTTTTAAGTTACCTAATAAACAGTATTCAGGGAATTAATAAAAGCAAAATTGAGATTTTAGGTAGAGTACTACAGAAAACATATGGCAGTCCGATAGTGACATGTGTAGTGCTTGGCATACAGTTGACCCAATCCTCCAAATTTGAGACATTTCATCTCGACAAACGTTGGGTTTTCCAGAGCACTTCAAAGCTGACGATGAGGTGCCTCAGGACTACGCAGCAGATCCCTGTTCCAGCCGCTGGCTGGAGGAACCACTTCAGTGAGGACCATGAACAACAATTCCGTGCTTCTAGACGCACATGCTCTGAGTGAGGAGCAGGTGGATGATGTGGTCCAAATCAGCGGGGAGAACAACAGTCAAGGCCTCTCCAGGAAGTCTAGACCGTGGCCACGTCCAACTCGTCATGAATGACAGCCCCAAGAGAATCAGAGAAAAAGTGCAGATCTATGTGAAGTTGCATTGTGGATGCCACTCTGAGTGTTCTCAATGTGATCGGTGTAATCAACAACAACAACAAAAAATAATAATAAATGAGAGAAAGGGCCCCAAAGAACTAGCAGAATCCACAAACCCGTCAGTCTCTAAAGAAGTGTGCTGTCTGGCAGCATGTTGTAAGAAAAACCTTTAAATAAAGATGGCAAGAAACCTTGGGCAGCAACACCCAAGACTCAGTATCTTGCTGCTCCAAGTCGGTGCATTCCTCTGAAGAAGGATGTGCTAGGAAGGGGGACGAGGCTAGGAAACGTGCCATACTTTCAGCCGAGAGCATGAGGGACGCAAGAGCAGAATAGCAGGAACAGCCTGGCAAGAACCACTGCTACTCCACATCCAAGTTTCGGTAAAAAAAATAAATAAATAAATAACAATAATAAGATGGAAGAGTTACACACAAATAAGACCAGGTCTCAAAAACAAAATTAAATAAAAATTTGGCAGCATATTTTTAAATTTTAATAAATTTAAAAAAAAACCCCGATGCATGCTAAATATCTTACCATCAGAAATTGATCAAAAGAATAATGTTTGAAGGGTTATGGATAATATAGCTCTTTTATTAAAAACTACAATACGGATCATAAACAAATATATTGATGCAAAAATATACCTGGTACTATAAACTATCAAGAAAATGTGCAGCTATCAATATTAAGCACTTATGAGTGACAGGTAGAATTGTAAGAACGGTAGGTAAAATAATCCATGTAATCTTAAAAATCATATGAGTAACACCATATTAATTAACTCTGCCATTTTATAGGCCAGTCAATGCATTTTTTTAGAGATCTGGAAATGTGCCTGAGACGATCAAGGTGCCGAGCGGGAGGGCACGTTAGCAATCCCAGGACATTCATCTCCGGAGTCACATGGGCGCTCACCATGCCGGGCGAAGCAGCCCTAATGCGGCATCGCTCACATTTCTGGTGCTGCGTCACAGGGAAGAGTCTGAAGGCTTGGAATCTGGAACATCAACCATGACCACGTCTGGGTTGTGGAAGTAAAGATAATTGAACTTCTGTTTACTCTTGGTTTCTTTTTGTCACTTTAGTCTCTAAAGATCACATATCTTTTGGGCTGTTTCAGGGATAAATATCTAATGGACGACTTTTTTGTTAGATTAGTAAAAAAAAAAAAAAAAGGAATGATTAAGAAGAGCTCACTAGGAAGTCAGGCTCTACAGAAGCCAACGAGCTCAGAGGGGCTGGCATGACACAGCAGGTTAAATTTAATTTAAATTTGCAACCCCAGCATCCAGAATTGGAGAGTGGATTTGAGTTCCAATTGTTCCACTAATGATCCAACTCCCTGCTACTGCCCCTGGGAAAGCAATGGATGTTGATCCAAGCACTAGGATCCTGCCACCTATGTAGACATGCTGGGTTTCCTTGCTCCTGGTTTTAGCATGGTCCACAACTGGCTGCTGCAGTCAAATGCGCTACCACTGAGCTATACCCCCAAGTCTGGATAGAAACAGATCTATTAGTTTATGTCTCAGGGAAAAATTAGTGTAAGATAATTACAGTTGACCCAAAAGGGACATGTGAATGAGAAATCTCTGTAGTTGTAAACCAAAGCCTTACATTGTTACTGTACCACACCATAGCATGGTATGGATGGATATACTACTATATTACCACTTTCATGTTTGGAAAACCCACCTAACACCACGCACTACTTCTCAGAAGTTCTGTGACTACTTTCTGCATTGTCAGAGATGGAAAAGCTGCCATGGGAATGTACTTCCTCGGAAGGCAAGGAGTCACTCGTTCCCCTGTGTGTTCACTTACTGCATTACTGGTCTCTCTCTAGAGTAGGCAGGCAAGCTGATTTCCTCAGCTCCTCTTTCCACCCCAAGCTCACCAACGCTCTTCTATCAAACACCCGCTTTCTTCTAAGCATGCCATGCAGCCCCTGCCACTCCAGCGATAACAAGTGCAAGGAGCAATGTTTCCACTGCAGACAATGAAGTAGGTCCTCAGACAGCAGTCAGAAGAAACACAACAGAAAATCACTTGTTGCAGCCACTGGCCTTGAGGTTCTTGATTTCTCAAGTCTTACACACACACACACACACACACACACACACACACACACACAAAACCGACAGTTTGAGATGTGCTGTTTCCCAAGAATCCAGAATTCCAGCTATTATTTGATGGTTCCAGTCATGGACAGTAAGCTATAGTTACCATCAGCAACAAAATGCAAATGTCTGCTTTCTGAATAGTTTGCAAGCAGTATTTTTCAACCTCTGAAAATCTATTGCACAATTATCACCGGAGAAGCCTCAGAGGAAAGTGAAAAGACAAAAAATGCTGGGGATGGCCAAGAGACATCAGTAACAGCAGCAACAGCAATAATAATAATAATGTCATTATTCAATATAATATTTTTATAGATTCTGTCAAGGCTCTTTTATGGAACCAGAATTCTTTTTTTAAAAAGGTTTGCTTATATGAAAGGTAAAGTAGAGCGAGGGAGAGAGGCAGGGGGAGATAAAGATCTTTCATTTTCTGGTTCCTTTCCCAAATGTTTCCAATGTCCATGGTTGGGCCCAGTGAAAGTCAGGAGCCAGGAGCTTCATCCAGGCCTCTCACATGACAAGCAGGAGCCCACGAACTTGGAACATCTCCTATTGCTTTCCCAGGGGTATTAGCAAAGAGTTGGATTGAAAGTCGAACAGCTAAGACTCAAAGTGGAGCTCTGATCCTGGGAGCCAGCACTGACAGTGGCTCTCCAACCCACTGTACTCTAACACTGACCCTTTAATAAAGTATTTAACACAAGGCCTTGCTAGATGGCTTACCCCTCACATTAACTGTCATTCTTGACAAAACCTTGATGATAAGGTATAAAGTATTCTCCACACCCTAAAAATGAGAAAATTAATTATTAAAAGCATAACTTACAATAAAGGCCATTCTATGACTTAATAGAATATTTTGAATTTGAATTCACCATAACTCAAGTCCCTCATTACCATACAATGCTAGAGGATGTAAATATATAAAAAATTTGGAAATTCTACCAAATCGAAAAATCTTTCAAAGAAGGTAACAGATGAAATTTAAAAAGTACTGTCTGTAAATTTTCCTGGAGCCCAAAATTCTATTTAATGTGATTTTGAATATTGGACTTAAAGATACCTAATTTTTTTTTCTTTTCTTGTCAACAAGAAAGGAAAGTTATAGTCGACAAAACCAACTGTAAAAACCAAAGGCAAAGTAGTGTCATTTGTGATTATTTACTTTTTGCTCAGTAATAGTAATTACGTAATAACGACAATCACTATCAAGTCAGAATTTGGGCAATCTGAGTGCAAAACATCAAATCTGAGCACACAGTTCCTTCTAGAATGGAACAACTTTAGAGAGTCAACACTCCCACTGCAAACAAGGACCCACAGCCTTTAACACATCACAGTCTGTCTCCTGGAAAGCACTGGGAGTATCTGTGGCAGGCAGAATGTAAAAGCCAGACTCCAGAATGAAAGGAAACTTACTGAGAAGGCCTGTGCTCTACAGAACCCCTGCCAATCATTGGCATGGGCTAAGAGGGTAAAGGAAGAAAAAGGGGAAATTGTTGCAAGGGATACAAACCAGCAGAAAGGTGTGCAATTGCATCAGGGTGGAGCTAGAGTAAACTGGAATTCAAAGCTGGGGATTTAAGAAGAATTTGCAGGACATCAGGGCCAGTGTTGTGCTGTAATGGATTAAGTCACTGCCTACAATGCTGGCATCTCATACGGGGAACAGTTCTAGTTTCAGCTTCTTTATTTCCAATCCAGATCCTTGCTAATGCACTTGAGAATGGAAGATGGCCCAAAAACCTGGGTCCCTACACCCCTGTGGGAGACCCACAAGAAGAAGAATTTTTTCTGCGTTTCTCCTCTCTGAAATTCTGCCTTTCGAATAACAAGAAATTTTTAAAACAAGAAAGGCATAGAGAAAAAGAAACTTTAAAAAAAATAGATTTGAAGACCTGCCAAAGTCAAAAGAAATCTCCTAGACTCTATACTCTACAGTAGTACACCTAAACCGTAATACAATAAGATAGGTTTAAATAGAAGGTAGAATGTACAAAGAATGCAGTGCCCTCTCGAGACAGCTCTACCTCGAATGGCATGACATGAATCATGTACCTGCTTCCTGCCACAAAGAAAAAAAAAAGATGAATCCACACAGCAGGCAGTATTACAAGCAGAGCCCCTATCACTTGGCATCCGTAATGTCCAAAATCCATATGAAATTGCCAGGCCTATCAAAAAGATAGACACAACACAATAATAATAATAAAACTCCAGAGTTACAAGACTCAACTCCCATTAAGATGTTCAATAAAACAGATGAGAAGTTACAGTCTGACTAGGTACACAAAATAAATAAGACAGAAGGCTGGGCATTGTGGTAGGACAGTGAAGCTGCTAGGTGGGACAGCCACATCCCTCACTGGAGAGACCAACCCCTGATTCTGATGCAGATTTATGCTAAAAAAAAAAATCCCTACAAGATGGATTAACTCCCAATACTTGGGTTTCTAACCCACAGGAAAGTCAGGGTGAAATGCCTGGTTTCAACCTAACTCGGTACTGGTTGTTACCGAGCCAATGAAGTGAACAGATGAAGGGAATATCTCATTCTGTCTCTCTCTGTCATTCTGCCTTTCAAATAAATAAGTGGATCTTCAAAAATAAACATCCGACGACTGACAGCTACAATAACTGAAAGGGAGAACCTACTAGGTTAAGCAACAAAATAGGACAAAAGTGAAGAGACAGAGATACATAAATTAAAAAAAAAAATTCTGAGACTGAAGCACAAATTTTAAAATAGGAAAGCCATAAAATACACATTGGAAATCTTTGGTATGCATGGAATTTGCATGCTAGAAGAGAATAATAAAGAAATAGGACCAGATAGATATTTGGCTAGATACTGATTCTGACTTTTCTAGCAACTGGTGAAGGACAGTAAGGAATGGATTCAAGAAGCGATATGAGCTCTAAGAACAGTATACACAAAACAGTTACCCTGAACCACCTCACAGAAAACTGACAATGAAAAGAGAAAAATTCAAATACCCAAAGAGTCAGAAATTAGACTAATAACTGACTTTTCATTAAAATAACAGACATCAGAACACAATAGAATGACATCTTGAAAGTGGAGAAAAAAATTACTGCCAACCTAAAATTCCAAACACAGAAACTATTCTTCACCATAAGCTTGAAATAAAAACATTTCAAAACGGATAAAACCAGAGAGAATTCATTGCCAGAGAACCTATGCTAGGTAAGTATGACAGGAAATTCTTGAAGAAGAAAATAATACTAGGTGGAAATTGAATGCATGAAGAATGAATACGGGAATTAAGACCATTTAAATTTAATAGTAAATACAATGGAATCTTGACCTTAAAAAAGCACATTTTTTAATTAGTCCAGTGCGATGCGATGGCCTAATGGCTAAAGTCCTCGCCTTGAATGCCCCCAGGATCCCATATGGGTGCCGGTTCTAGTCCTGACAGCTCCACTTCCCATCCAGCTCCCTGTTTGTGGCCTGGGAAAGCAGAAGAGGACACCCCAAAGCCTTGGGACCTTGCATCCGCATGGGAGACCTGGAGAAAGTTCTTGGCTCCTGGCTTCAGATTGGTGCAGCACCAGCCATTACAGTCACTTGGGGAGTGAGCCATCGAACAAAAGATCTTCCTCTCTATGTCTCCTCCTCTCTGTATATCTGACTTTGCAATAAAAATAAATAAATCTTTTTTAAGTACATTTTCTAGTTTGTGAAATATACATAGACTTAAAATAATAGCACAAAGTCTAGAAGGATAGAAGTTACAGTGAGCTACATTCCTATATTTGTGACAGATGTGACATGATACTGTAGTGAGGGTAGAGTGGGCTTTTTAATAAATGGTTCTGTGTCACGTAGATATCCCTATTAGGAAAAAAAAAAAAACAATCGTCACCTTTACACCTGAAAAAAAAAATCAATCATCTATGGCTTGTAGACCTACGTTTCAAAGATACGACAAGAAACCTTCAAGAAGACAGAGGAGAAAATCTTGAAGACCTTGAAATCAAATCACTTACTATCAAGAAAGAGATTAATAAACCAGGCCACATAAAACTGTTAGATCATGGTTCATGGGCATAACATGAAAAGAGAGTGAAAAAAAACATGGCACAGTCACCTTGCAGATATTTTCAGTTCAGGTACCCAACAATAGAGTTCCACACACAATACGTAAAGAACATTGATGAGTCAATAATGGGGAGTACGGAAATTAAGTAGAAAAAGACATGTGCATAGGCACATCTTGAAGAAGTGTAGCCAAGTGTTTAACAAACATAAAAATGTGCTCAATGCCACTGATCATCCAAGAAATGCAAAGCACTAAAAATCGAAAATTAGATTGCATCACTGAATCAAGTGCTGGTGAAGATCAGAGACATCTTGAATTTGCAAACATTATCAGCAGGAATTCAAATTGTTAACCATGAAGGTTTTAAAATTATAATATCAAATTAAGTTTTAGTGTAAGTGTACATCAGGACCAAAGGATTACAGTATTTGCAAAATCCTCAAGGGAATGTGCAGAGATGGCCCCAAAGGAATGGACAGTAAAGTCGCCTCCTGCTAATGTTAGCATGCCAAATGGGTGCCAGTTCATGTCCTAGCTGCTTCATTTCAAATCTAGTTCCCCACTAATGGCCTAAGACAAGAAGAAGAAAATGACCCAAATATTTGGATCGCTACCAATCATATGGGAGACCCAAGATAAGCTCCTGTCCCCTGACTTCAGCCTGGCCCAGCACTGGATATTACACCCATCTGGGCAGTGCACCAGAAGATGGAAGATCTTATTCATTCTCTGTCTCTCTCTTTCCTTCACACTGTCTTCTTTTTCTCCTCTTTTCTCTTTCTCTGTAACTTTTATTTTAAAAAATAAATAAGTGAATCTTTGTAAGCATTAAACATTTCATCCAAAGGAACTCTTCACAATGATGAAGGAGAATGAGCTACAACTAAATGGATTTCACAAAAAAGCATGTGTGGCTAACGAAACCAGATGGAGAATGTACACACTTGGTGATTCCATATATGGGAAATTCAAATAGGCAATATTAATCTCTGCACACTGGGGACAGGCCAATGCAAGTGACTAGAGAATAGGAACAGCAAGAGGCACATGAGAGAGCCTTCCAGGTGACAGCTCCATGGATATATTCATTTTCTGACGATTCATCATGCTGCACGCTTAGGATTTATGCATATTTCTGTACATTACATTTCCATTTAAAATGACCTCAGCAGCAGGCATTTAGCTATGTAGAAATGACACCTGTGAGTCCATACCAGAGTACCTGTCTTGGATACCTAGTTCTGGCTCTTGACTCCAACTTTCTGATAACTCTGACCCTGGAGGTACAAGTGATGAGCTCTAGGGGACTGATTTATCACTGCACACAGGAGACCTGGACTGGGTTCTCAGAGCCTGAGCAGACCTCAGTCATTTGGGGAGTGAACATGAACCAGCAGATGGCTTACTCACACCCTCTCAAAAGAAAGAAAAGAAAAGAAAGGAAGGAAGGAGGGAGAAAGAGAAAGAAAAAAAAAGAAGGAAGAAAAGGACGTTACTTTCAAAATTACTTTAGAAAAAAATCAGTTCTACATATTATCATCGTTTCATGATAAAAAAAAAAAGAGAGAGAGAGAAATATCTAATCTGGGTCCTTTGACCGATGACAAACTGAGACAAACAAGGTCTCTTCCAGCTGTCATTTCAGCTTCATATAGTGAACCACCCATCACTCACTCTCAGATTAGAAAATCCTGGTACTACTGACTCTCAAACCCACATGACCCAAGTTTGACCAGTCGGGATACTCCACCTCCTAGCTACAGCACTGACTGGTTAAGAAATAAGCATGTAACCTAAACAGGGACCCTGAGACTTGATTTGAGAAGAGCTTTCTGACACAGTTATCTAACAAGAACAGCAAACTTTCCCATTGAGATTAGGAACTAGCTGGTGAACCTAATCTTAACACTGCTATCACACTGAGTGGTCCTACCTGAGACTAATGCAAAAACAGAGAAAAATACACATGATGATGAGGATGGTGATGATAATGATGGTGGTGGTGATGATAATGGTGATGATGGCTGAGAACAAGAAAGTGAAAAGTTGATTTTAATGGGTATTTCCTGAGTTATAACAAGTTTTTGATAACCTGAATACAACCACATATAATCTTGAACTTTTCAATTCTGTGAGCAAATAAATTCCCTCTTTTGCTAGAGACAACAAGTTGGGTTTTTGGCACCTTAACCAAGAGCTCTGACTTTTCCAGGGTCATGTCCAAGTTTAACACTCCATGATGTGGACAACACCTTCCCAACTGCTCCAACTAAGCACTCCTACAACCCAGGAAGAATAAATAGCATATGCAGGGGTTAAGCCTCTCTCCCAGCATGCCTGATCTTTCCCTGAGATTCATAGCCTATCTTAAGAAATGGAAAAATCATGGGGCAGACCAGACCCACAGAGCTACAACACCTGTTGATCTCATGTGAGCTGGACCAGGGAAAAGCCAGACTGGATTAACTGTGCCTACTGGTACAAGTATAAGTAAGAGTGAGTGTGGGGTGGTTGGGCTCTACCACAGTATCAGCTAGCAGATGCTAGTATGGGGGACTAATTCTGTCAAGCCAAACTGCAGAACCACCTGGAGAGAGTGCGTGATCTGGAAGTGGGAGAGGGCCCAGTAGGGAAACAGTGGGCATCTCCCTCCTGGGTTGCTACTCTATCTGCTGAACATGAGAACCGGGACTGGGGCAGGTCTGACTAGACAGAGAGTGGCACCCGTCAGCAAGCGTGTGGGCTGGATAGTGGGGCTGGTTGGGTTGAACTAGGCTCCAATGCCCATTTACATGTATGTGAGCTGAATGGGATATGGGACTTACTGGACTAGTCTGCTGTACATACTGGCAAGCACGGGAACCAGGGCAAGGGGCAGGCCTGGTGAGGGTTACTGAGAATCGTCCCAACTAGGCTGCAGCTCCCAGTGGTTTGGTGGTGAGCAGGATTGGGATGGGCTCCAACACTAACTGGTTTATAAAAGACGGGGCTAGAGGCAGAACTGACCCAGCAATTGCAACCACCAGCACATGTATAGGCTGATAGGGGCGACAGATTGTGCCAGGCCCTGTACTGGCAAGCATACCTAAGAATGTGGTCTGGGATTACTTCAGACTAAGTTTCTTTGGGGATCCCCCAATCGAACTGTCAGACTCAAAACCCCAACCATGAAGAGAAGTGCAGGTTTCATGGTCTGACCTCGGATTGCGTGTGTCAAAGCTGAGCCTCCTCAGTGGCTCAGACAGAGCAGTACATATCCAGGTGCACATGGAAGATATGGCAGTAAATTGGTGCCTGCAGAGAACACCTGGTACCACAACAGAAACAGAACAAATTGATCAACTACCCCAGCCAAGTGCTGGCAGTGAAAATCTGAGCAAGCAGAGACACTAAGGTGGACTATGTCAGCCAGTGGATTCTAAAGAGATTTCATTGTGCTTGGAATGGCGAGATTGGCAGCAATTCAGAACAACTAAACTATCAAAAACACTTGAGCAAGACCCTCGGAGCATGGCCCACATTGGGGACCCTGGGATGGTTGGAAGGGTGGGTGTGGCTTCTCTCTGTTTCTTCCCTTCCCCCAGATTCAGGAAGGAAAAAAGAGAATGTGGAAACAATGGTCTTACTTTCCTGTAGCCCTTGACGCTTTGAGCCCTAATCAACTATGTAAAGATCATCAAAATAAAAAAAAAATTTAAAAAAGGAAAACCATGTGAACTTTCTAACTTACTCCATGATACTTAGTCCTACAAGGAATACAGTCCTACAAATTATCACCTAAGACTGATACTCCAAGAAATCCTTGCCACCTATGGGTTGACATATCCCTGATTTAAAAGAACAGATTTAGGGAAGGGATGACGAATCCAAATTCTACAGAGATCAGTCACACAGTATAATGAACACGGGTTGTAAAACACGAGGCTACAGAAGACAGCAACTTCCAGCCCAGCCCGAGAGGGGTAAGCCGGGACTTGGCTCCACTCCCTTATGTGGCTTCTTTATATCCATGCGAGCCAAGCACACAGACAAGGTACAAAGTGCCTGGGCTCAACCACAACCCATCTCTGATTGTGTAGTCATGTCTCTTCCTCCTAGCCCACGGGCTACACTGAGACTATTTCTAACATCTACCCTCCAAATACCCCATATTTTCCTTCTTACAAAAGATGTTTCTTTCAAACAGAGATAAAGCACAGAGGCTCAGGCATATATTTATTTAGTAAAACTGTATTAGACCTCCTGAAAATCAGATGGCTTTACCCAGGCAATCTGTAGAAGGAAAATCACCCTTTTCCAATAGAAACACTCACATTTTATGTGACATTTTTAACAGCCTCCAAGTTTCAGCTTCAACCAGCAATATTTGAATTGCTTTTAATTTAGCAGGTATGGAGAAGAGAATAATTTGGCAGCTACTTCTTGATGTATGTCAGAAGCCAGGGTCCTCCCAGGAGAATCTCATGTTCATAAAAGTAATTTTTCCCATTCATGCTGCCGAGAGCACCCCTCTCAGAGCCTGTCACGTGCCTGTCACCTTGCAGGCAGACACTAGGCTCCAAAATTAAAGGACTTCTTTTTTTTTCTTTTAAAATAATATAATCAAGAATGTGATCTGAACTAGTCAAGAAAGGGAAAATTAATTTAACAACCGACACTGATGACCTTTGCAATTCTATGTTGTGGCTCTTGTACAACATGCGTTCAAAGGCTACTGTTTGTCTGATTTACTCATAATAAAATGTCCTTGGCTGGAAACAAGATCACATTGTTCACAGGATCCCATTGTGGAGTGTGGAAAAAGATGTAATTGGTATATGGTGAAAAGTAAAGCATGATCCTCTTGGTCTTTCAGAGGTTTGCAATTTTATTTACCAATCCCTGTAGAACAATAACAGTACAGAACGTGAGAAGGATCAAGGAGACCTGACTGAGTTCTTGGTCCCTGCCAGAAACTGGGAAAGTGTTGCACACACATCTTTGTTCTCTCAATGTCTCAGGCAGGTGCCACTGACATCCCTGGGACTGCAGAGGAGATGGAGGATCTGAGAGAGGACTGCTAGTGCCCCCCACACTTCTGAACCGGGGCGCCAGCCTTTGTCTACTGACAAGGACTAGGTTCTTTACCTTGAACCACCACCCCCTGCCAATGCGGAAGGAGTGGCCTTGCCAACTTGCTCATCCTGCTCAGCTCTTCCCTGGTTCCGCGAATTTCACAGTGTCTTCACCTTTCAATCCGTAAGCCCAGGACACATTCTTGACTCGCATTTTCCCTCCCCACTCTCACTGCCACCCTTCTGCACCCAAATCCCACCCACCTCCGACATCTGTTGCTTCTGCCTCTTTCACAGGACCATCTCTTTCCCTGTCCCCTCAGACCTCATCCTCTTCCCGTTTTCCTTTCTGTGCCACAGAGACTTCCTAATCACAAGTACCACTCACACTTCTCTTTCTGTGACTTATTCACGATTCCTTCTCCAAAGGGTCCACTCCAAGTCCCCCTCCAAATAACAGTTTATTGTTATTTCCTCAGAGAAACTGAGCCAGGGAAGTTCAGTCCAAGTCCAATTCCTCTCCTAGAGCTGTTTCCTTCTTTGAAAACAGCACAGTTTATGTGTGTGTGACTATGCTTATTTGGACCAACTAAAAGCCACCTCTTTCCGAATGAAATTTCTGCATTAACAAACTATCTGAAGCTTACTAGTGAAATGATAAAAGCACCTGCTTTGAGACCAGAGACCTGAGTCTGAATCTTAATTCTACTCACCTCTGTACGCACCTAACTCTAGCTGTCTCACCTTGCCAAAACCCAAGCTCTCTGTTGCCAGATGTCCTCATAATAAAATAAGCAAGGTGCCAACTCTCCTGGTTACTAATGTTAAATGAGGTTAGACAGCTGACAATATCTAATTTACAATTCCTACTACATATTAAGGACTCAACCAGCATTTGTTAGGGATTTTCATGTAACTACCTGATTGATTATTAAGAAATATTATTGAGGAAAAAAAGTAAATTACTCCAATTATTCAGCAACATGCAATGTAATCATTAGTGCTTAAATAGCCTTGAAACTGCAGTACAGAGTACTGCAAATATGTGTTCCAAATACAACATTGGAATAAGGTTTGAGAAAAAGGCTGGAATGAAGGTCAGAAATAAAGTCAAAACAAAGCAGATTTTACTTTTATCTGCGGGAACTTTAGTTTTCCTTTTCTCTAAAAAAGAAACTATAATTATACATGTGTAACAAATAAATGCCACCATTTAAATAACACATGCGAATCACTCCAGACAATTCAATAACTAAAAGGATTCGAATCTTTCTAGTCTTCTGTGCCTAGAACGACCCTGGAGTTAGCACAGGCACTCATGAGATACACACCACATGAATGAGTGAATGAGAGTTGCATCTTACAGGAAAAATACAAAAATATATCCACATTTTTTCAAAGTACTTCACATCCAGCAGGGTCAAAATCACTTGGGTATATGGAAGTTCTGGAAATGGAGCATGGTGATGGCTCCGCACTTTCCTAACCTACTCAACACCACTAAATAGGTACATGTTATACTATTTCACCACATATGTTTATTTCACCACAACTAAAGTTTATAAATACTTTTTCATGAGAATAACATCAATTTCAGAGCCAGAATCACTACAAATTTTGTACAAACCAAGTTAAAAAAAAAAAACTTACTTGAACCTGTAGCTTAATATAATAATTTCCTCTTAGCATTAGCTAGAGCTTAAGAATGGTTCAAGTGTCTAGAAAGCAGGAAACCATCATTACACCACAGACAGGAAAAAAAAAAGCTAGAATTGGCAAGATGATCAAAGCTCTGGCGAAAGGGAACAAAGTGACATTCAGAGGCAACTGACATCAATAGTGCTAATGCTTAAACAGAGGACAGGGAAGCCAAAACCTCATGGCTCTAACTGCAAAAAAATAACGAGAAATATGAGCAGCCAGTGGGAGATTTAAAACTGAAGTATTCTAGAAAATATTAGAAGGTTGGAGGAAGGAGTCATCATCTATAAATAAAACCAGCAGTGAGATAGAGGGATAATTAGAGCAGTGGAAAGAAACATACAGGAACGTTGGAAAGAATTCTTTCATCAACAATGACATCTTCAGACATACTTGCAATCTACAAAATGTAAAGAAAAAAAAGACAGGATTCTTCTGATATGAGAAATTGGAGTAGGACAGATTGGTTAAATATCTCCCAGTCCTCTTTTTTTTTTATTTTTATTTTTTCAAAGAAAGCAACAGAATGAGGGGTAGTTGAGGTTTTACTTTGTGTTAAGTGGGAGAAAGAAAATACTGATTGCAATGAAAGCATCTGACAATAGACCCAACATCACTGAAACAGACAGGCTATTACCACGAGAACTAAAATCCATGAAAAGTATTTTTAAACTGTTTAGTCAATAGGACTGCTGGCTTGATTTCATAGGCTCCTGTTTGCAAAAATAGTTGAATCAATTTCATTTTGACCTATTTGGATCTCTGAATTGAATAAAATCTCATTATTTTTAAATGAAGTTAGAAAATGAACACAAACAACCTGGTATTTGGGTTGCTTGCTTCCGATTACCCGGGATTTTTTTTATTAAAGAACGATGGGTTGTTCGAGCAGCTGCCAGGTGCATCCGACTGTAATCTCGCACAGCCTTAACTAGATTTGCCCTAAAATAATTCTGAGACGCAAGTCAGTGTGGGTAAACAGACACAGAGGGCATATAGGATAACCTGATCAAGAATAATATATAAATTTCTTATAAATTAAATCCTGAGCTATTCAGTTAATATCTAACACCATCTAAAATCTAAGTGTGAGTTACAGAGAATTGGTGTGAAACACATGGAGACAGCCAAAAGCAGAGGCACAGCTCTTGGATGGGAGACTGTGAACCACGGAAGCCACAGAGCAGGTGCATGCCAGCAAAAGCCAGGGGATGCATCTGTTGGGCAGCTGGGTTTTTGTTTTTCTGCAGAGAAAGGAAGAAAATAACTGAATAAATAGGAGTAGAAGATTTTTAATTTTTTTTAAAGATATGTTGATATTCATTCATTCATTCATTCATTCATTCATTCAGAAAGGCAGGGCAACAAGCCTAACATCAGAGTGCTGGTTTCTATCCCAGCTGCTCCACTTCTGGTCCAGCT